TTACAGTCCTTTGATATAATTTAATTATGCTCATGAATATCAAATTTACTTATTTTACAAACCAATCAGCGTCGTTCTATCAATTTCTCTGGTTTTGAAGCCAATGAACGTCGGTTTTTCTTCTGGTTTATCACGCCATTCCTAGAAGTAGGCCAAGCCTTGTTTTAAAGTTTCCAGCCAAGACCCCGACATCAGTCTGGCTATTAACTCTTTCTCTCCGTATTTATTTTCTACGTTCCGCTGGAATTACTCATTTTGCTCATTGGTGTTTCACTACTCTGTTATGATTAAATTTCAATAACTTTTTTTTTGTATGTAATCAGGAATTGTTATATTAGATATGTAATTATAAAATTGTAATTATGAAAGTCCCACTTGAGCGCTTTCTCCAGCGATGCTTGCGCTCTATCATGGACATACGGTGGCAAGACCGCACTACAAACAGCAATGTCCTTGCGTTAAAAAAAAACTCAGAAAAAGAAAAAAAAATATTGTCAGAACTTTCGACGCATATCATAACTTATCATACTTCAGGGTAAAAGATGAATTGATACAAGTTTCGTGCAAAGAGCAGTTCTTTATGGATTTATTGATCCCTAATAAAACAAACATACGATAATAACAATGCATCATTATCAGACACGATTAACTAGTCCAGCTTTTTTTTCGTCGTTTGCAAGTAATTACATAAGAACCTTTCAGTGTCCAAACTCATCTTACCATTAAACTTTGGATCTGTATAGTTGCTTAGAGGAATTTTTTTATCATGATATCAGATGTAGGAATGTGTAAAACAGGTATTCAAACCTCTTCCATGGCTGGCATGGTCAATTTTTTTGCTTATAGTGTCCAGTTTTCAGGAGTTTGATATAGGCCTAAGTAAAGATATTGTAAGATGCTAACAAACTTCTGTTTTGTGATGTTTTATCCAACATTTTGTCTACTGTGGGGCTATTCTGAACTTTATCATTGAGCGTTCGAAAGTTTTGTTTTCAAATCTCAATCTATTTTATCTTGTTGGCCTGTCTCAATTGGTGTTCCAGATTAAATGGTTTCATAGCGACATAACTTAAAACTGTGTGGCATGAAAAGTGGACAGAGTCACAGACCATTGCTTTTTCGACATGGAAGGAATGAAGCCAAATCTCTAATAATCAGCAGTGTATTGTCTACAGTTTTTTGTAGACTCAGTCATGTAAATTATTACTTTTATGTAGACAAAAGTAAGCTATTTAAAATAAAATGTTTCAATTAGAGTACATTATTACTTGTATGTAGAGACACAAATAAACTATTTAAAACAAAATGTTTCAATTTGAAATTTAAAAAAATCATTTGACTACAGCGTTGCAATATAAGGGATATAACTAAGGTAGATTTCAAATTGAGTATTGAGTTGATTTTTTTAATGGTGATTAATAGGAAATTTTTTCTTCTTCTTCATCGTTCTCATTGATTATGTTGGAGTGTTCAGATGACTAGACCAATACATGAGATGAACTGCGCAGTGGTTTCCAAATCAGGGAGCTCTCCATATAGTTTTGTTTCTATTGGGGTGATTTGGGGCCAGTATCTTGGTAAAGAGAGCAGTTTTGGAGGACGTGGTCAGCATTTTCTGGTGATACTCCACATGGGCAGATTTTACTGGTTCCAATTTTGAGCTTCCGGTACATGTGTTGTCGCATTCTGTTGTGTCCGGTCCTGAGTCGAAAGATTAGACGTTGGTCTTGTCGGGATAGCTTATAGTAAGCGTCATCTTTCTTGTGATTTGGATGGGAGCTCGTCCATTTCTCATTTATTTTATCTACAATTAATGTCTTCATTTCTATTGGATAGAGTGCAGAGTTTACTTGTGAGTTTGTTCTCCCACTCTTGACGAGTGTGTCAGCCTGCTCATTTCCTGCTAGTTCTATATGAGCTGGTATCCATTGAATAACAGTTTTTTTCTGTTGTTGTTGAGCTTTGTAAGTGCTGTTCTGAGGTTTTTAATAGAGTTTTGCAAGCTTTGGAGGGTTGTTTTCGCGTCTGTTAGAAAGACAATTTGACTGTGAGTGGAACTTGGATGACTTGCTAGCATGGTAGCAGCTAGTGCTAGTGCTTCCCTTTCTGCTCTGTGGCTGTCAGAGAGCTCTCCAGTTGCAATGGATTTTTCTAGTTTTTCTCCATCTGGCCATTCGATAAGTATTCCAGCTCCTCCATTTGTGATGGCTTTATGGGATGAGCCATCCGTGTAAACTCTAATCCACTGATTGCTAGGGTAATTGGTATGTAGAAAACAGCTCACTATTTCCTTGAGCTCTGTTGGTCTGTAATCAGATTTTCTTTTTATGTTTTCAATATGGTCCCTTATAGTAGGAAGAGGGCTTTCGTCACAGGGTGGAGATTCATTATAGTGTATCAAGGATTCCAGAGTAATTTTTTCAAGTTGGTGTTTCTTTTTTAGGTTTAGAGATTCCTGTATGAAATTGGTCCTTTTGAGACGGTTTTTTGTGCCAGTTTTGTGGATTTTTGTTCTGAGTGGGTACCTCTCCAAGGATTCCAATTTAGTGAATTGGGAAAGGATTTTTATTTCTCTTCTTTCATCCAGAGAGATCAGGGCAGCGTTTCCTCCATAGCTCTTATGGGTGATGCTTTGATTGCTCCTGTCATTATCCTTAGACCAATATTTTGAACCTTGTCTATTTTTCTTAGGTTGGTTTGGGCTGCTGAGCCCCATGCTGTGGCACCATATTCTAGTACAGGTCTTACGTAACTGGTATAGGTCTTTTTCAGGATGTTGTGATTTGCTCCCCAATCAGTGCCAGCTATTTTTTTCAAGAGGGATAGTCTCTGGATGCCTTTACTCTGTGTTTTATCTATTTGGTTTTTCCAGGTTAGTCTAGGGTTATAGGTGACTCCAAGATATGTAGAGCTGTCATTTTTTTTCTAAAGCTTCCTTATCTAATGTTAATTTTATTGTTTGTTGTTTTGTTGACAGTGAGAATATGGTATATGTTGTCTTTTTTGTGTTGATGGACATGCCCCAGTCTTTTTACCAATTATTGAGTTTATCAAGAGCATCTTGTAATCGAAATTTCGATGTTCCTACATATTCTTCTGTGCTTATTAAGGCAAGGTCATCTGCATACATGCTGCTTTTAACTTTTCTTGGTAGGTTTTGATTTAGATCATTTATGAATATTAGGAAAAGTGTAGGGGATAGGACTCCTCGGGGGACGCCATTTTTTATACCCATTGTGTGGCTTCTTTGTCCTTGCATGCAAACTAAGGCTTTTCTATTATTTAGATATTCCTTTATCCAGTTGTACATTCTGTGGGATATGTGATGCTGGATAAGCTTGAGCAAGAGACCTTGTTCCCAGACTTTGTCAAATGCTTTTTCTAAGTCAATCCACACAATTGTTGTTGGTTTCTTTTCTTGAAAGCCGTCTTCTATTTCTTGTGTGATGAAGGCAATTTGATCTTCAGTTGATCTGCCTTTTCTAAAGCCAGCCTGGGCTTCAGTGAGTAGGTTATTTGACTCAAGGATCCATGTCAGCCTTCTATTTATCATTCTTTCCATCAGTTTGCAAGTACAGCTAGTGAGGCTGATGGGGCGGTAGCTATCCAGTTTGTTTCTTGGTTTGCCGTGCTTTAGTATAGGGATCATAATGGCTTTTTTCCAGATGTTTGGAATTCTGTCAGATTTCCAGCTAGCATTGAATATTTGTAGCAGTTTTCTTTTGGCTTGAGACCAAAGTAAAGAAGCATGTCATTTGATATTTTGTCTGGGCCCGGGGCTTGTTTTGGTTTGAGGACTTTTAGGGATTCATCAAGTTCCTTCATTTTAAGATTAGTGGTCATTCCCAAGGAGTAACCTGGCTAGTTTTCTTTGATTCTGTCCTGGATTTCTAAGTTTACATCTTTATTTCTACTTTCATTGATTTGTATTTTTCCTACACTTTGGAAAAACTTAATGAATTCATTTGCTGCTTCTTGGCCTTTCAGGGGTTTGTTGTCCTTTTCTATTACTATAGGAGTTGTTCTGTTTTCTTCCTGGTTGAGACATTTGGCTATACGCCAGAGTTTGTGGCCATCTCTACGTTTAGTTCTGTTTTTTCATGCCAACTTTTCCTCATGGCCGAAAGGTAATTTTTCCTGAAAACTGCGTTAGCTGCTTTTAGATTTATGTTATTTTCTATACAAGGGTTATTTTCTACTGTGTTTCTGGCTTCAATAGTGGCATTGTGGAGTTGTTGAAGGTGTTCAGACCATTTGGGGATATAATCTTTTCTTGCTCCTCTAGGAATTGATTCCTTGGCTGCTAGGAGGATTGCTTTAGAAAAAGCTGAGAATGACTTATTAACCTGATTTGATTTGCAGTTTATTGAAGTTGTGTATAGGTCTGTGAGCTTTGAGAATAGGTGCCAGTTGGCTTTTTTGTAGTTCCATCTGGGGATGGTGGAGTTTTCTGATATTTTGAAGGAGGTATCGATACTGATCAATATGGGTCTGTCACTGGTGGCTAGCTGGTCTGCAACTTCTCTGGTGCACTTTTTGGATAAGTTGTCAGTTGCAAAGGCTAGATCTGGAGTGGTTGATGTTAGCCAGGCTGTTGAGAAAAAGGTTGGTTTATCCTCAATTTATTAAGCAAGATAAGTCTGTTCTCTGCTTGCCATTCTTCAAGTTCTTCTCTCCCTGGCATTTAGGTCTGGGTATTCCCAGCTCTGAGAGTGACTATTCATATCTCCTAAGAAATGAAAGTTAAAGACTTGACGTGCCTAAACATGAGATGCATTATCATAGACCCCCGTTTACATTTCATTTATTTTTTAACTTCCGTAAACCACTTAGAAGTTGTAATAGACCCCTGGGGGGGGGGGGTCTATATAGATCATATTTTGGGAATCACTGGTCTAACTCATGTGTATACCTGTTTGTTTACAATTTTATATTTCATGAATGCTTTATTCCTCACTAAATGAGCATCAGGTCCATAATATTAACAATCTTACACTTAATAATTTTATTAGGAAAACTTTTATTGTCGCATGTACAATGGATACATTTTGTTTAAGGAAATGTTTATCAACATTATGGCGAACATTATGCATGGGTGATGAATATACAAATGATACATATACAATACAATTCAATAAGTTAAAATGTATATAACAATTATAACAGTGTTAAATGAATATAATACATAGACAAAACAAAAAACTCATCAGTTATAAGAAGTTATATTATAAAGTCTCTTTTTTACTTGATTCTCTCACAACAGTGGTTTGAATATATATTGAATGTAATGCTTCAATTTTATAGCAAAACTTGAATTGATCTAAAATATTTTTTTTCTTTTAAAACCTACAAATGAATTCAGTTGAAAACAAGATACTGTATCATAAAATGCAATATATAAAAACTAAACATAATTTAATTATCAATGTATCCATATACACTTGTATGTTCCCTGATATGGAAGTAGATTCAATAAAGTTATGTTTTTATTTGTCTCTTAGGGCCATTGACTTTTAAACCTATAAAAAATTAGTCACTCACGAATCATAAAAAATGTCTATAGGAAACAAACGAATCAAAACAAAGCTATTTTATTTGTATGAAATTTATAGCTGAATGCACAATGGACATCATTCACCAATCGTAAACAAGCAACATTTAGCCACGTGATAATATGATAAAACAATGGAAGAAAACTGTCACGTGACAGCCTGTGTGTATTACGTAATTCCTATAGAATAGATAGAGAACCGCGTGGCTAAATGTTGTTTGTTTACGACTGGTGAATGAGGTCCATTGCTGTGTAATATATCTAATTACACAATTAGAAATGTCAACATTAAAGAATATTACATCTCTATAGAAAGTAACGACTTTGAAAATACATTTGGAAAATCAGATTTGTTTTGAATTTTTCATGACTCGTTTTAGATATCGTACTTAAAGCAGCCTAGAAACTTTATAAACGGTTTATTATAACAAAGATATCAACAAAGCTGAGAGGATTGCAGCAATACTGTATGACGTGAGAGCGACACCTGGCGAAGAAATAAATGAATAGATAAATTGGTTAGTTGTTTCAGAGATCTAATTCAGTAGAAGAGATGACATCGCCAATAGCACATTAGACAATAACGTAAGTTACTTGTTTTAACAATAATTAAGGTTAATAGCGTTCTGAAATTATTGCTTGTGATAAAGGAATGGTATAGACGAGAAGAAGAAAACTTTTGTTGTTGAATTGACATAAAACATAAATCAGGTTCATTCAAATTCAAGAAAAGTATGTTAAAAATACTCACAAAATAACAACTTTATATAAGCGTAATAATATCAATTAGTTTAGATCAGTCAAGTAATTAAATTTGTGATATATCTAGACGAACAATAATAAATCTGTGCGATTAGAAAAAAAAATCAAATTGTTTTGTTTAGCGCAATTTATGCTCTTAGTAACCATATAGCTCTTACGTGTACAAATTGTAAGACAAATTTCCTCACGGACAATGAAGATTATTATTATTATTATTATTATTAGCTTTCTCAATGCGCTATGATCCAATCACTTGTCTGAACCTGCTGAGATACTGGGAGTGGGGAGCGGGTATCTGGGTGAATGTTAAATGTAAAGGACATTTTCTTTAAAGCTCCCTAGAACAAGATTACAACTTCGAAAACTAATTTTATAGTTGCTCAGGAAGCACGGGGATCTAGCAGCCTGATTTACTAGCAACCTCATGTACACAGAGCTAGCAACCTCATGTACACAGAGCTAGCAACCTCATGTACACAGAGCTAGCAACCTCATGTACACAGATCTAGCAGCCTGATTTACTAGCAACCTCATGTACACAGATCTAGCAGCCTGATTTACTAGCAACCTCGTGTACACAGAGCTAGCAACCTCATGTACACAGATCTAGAAGCCTGATTTAGTAGCAACCTCATTTACACAGAGCTAGCAACCTCATGTACACAGATCTAGGAGCCTGATTGAGTAGCAACCTATTTACACAGAGCTAGCAACCTCATGTACACAGATCTAACAACCTCATGTACACAGATCTAAAAACCTCATTTACACAGATCTAACAACCTCATCTATGTAAACCTAACAACCATGTCTACACAGATATAGGAACCTCATTGCTCGGTACATTGACGTCTTACTGTACCCCCCCCCCCCCCACACATTGTTAAGTAAGACTTTCCATTAAATAGCCTGACTTACCATTGTGACCATCATTTTTAGGTTGACTTGTTGACGTCACGTGACTACTAAACATAACGGACGCCTTGGAGTCCAAAATCTTTTGCTGGTCAGCTGTCAATGCTTTGTACTGGACATCGGTGACTGCATTAGCTTGGTTGGTACTAAGTGCTTTCAATTGGTCAACAGTAAATGCCTATGGAATCACGAGTTAAATCATTATCACGATTGTTGATAGCTTCAACGAGCTTGAAATTTTATACATGTAAATCATCTTTGTAAAGTTGAAAGCTGGAATTATATCTTTTTTTAAAATTACAATTGTATAGTACATTTTTCATGTTATAGCATCTACATTGTTTTCTGGTCCAAACCAGTGGGGGTAGGCTTATCTAGGAGAAGTTTTCCGAGTTGGTTCAGTAAATATAGCTCAAGTTGGGATTCGGATTCGAGCCGCCTTAGTAGGTAGCCAAACGATATACGTCACTCAGCCACCAATCCCAGGTCTTCAAAAGATAATCTAGAAATAAGAGACTGGACGTTACTTTGGAAGTGAAGATTACTACGTCCAAGACCAGACAACCCGCAGGACCGCAGTGGTTGGCAGAAGGCAGGGGTTAAACTTGGAGCCATCGCGATGACAGTCCGAAATGCATAGCAAACGAACAGGCAGCAATCATTGAGTTATGAGTATTTGATTATACTCATAGAGAAGTACAATAAAACATAAGTTTGGATGTAACACTTACACTATTTAAGAATGTCAGTTTAAATAGCCTAGATTAACTAACAGAACTTAGTATCGGTAGAGAAGATCCTTGTGTTAAGTACAACCAGCTATCATGGAAGTCTAATTTATAAAGCGGTGGTTGTGAGTGTGTATGTGTTTCATCTGTGAATGTTCGTATTTGCATCTATATTGTTATTTTAAAGCAGTTACGCTGAGGTTGTTGATTGTAGTCAAACTGCTTTTTACATTTGATCGGATCAATAAAAATCATCTTATCTTAAGTAAGAATATAAACAATTTAAAACACAAACTACTTACATTGATGATATCGTTAGGTAATCGTGGGATAACTTTTGGTTGGATCAAAGACAACTGTTTGGAGTTGATGCTCTTGATTTGGTCTGGGCTAAATCCAGCTGGTGCATGAAATAGAAGGCATACAAGTTAGCACATTATCGGCTTCAAATCTTTCATATTTACATACATACACAAGAAATAGAAGTTTTTTTTCTGCAAATGTTGTTTAAAACTATTTAGAACAATAAACCATACAGATTGTATATGCGAAGCAGTTGTTCATCTATGATATTTGTTTTGTATTATGGTACTGTTAATAATGTAGTGAATAAAGCAATGTGATCCAAACTTTTAACTTATTCACTGTATACAGTAGCGTAACAAGGACAATAAAATTCAGACGCCATTCCTCAAAGGACCGTTTCATCAATGGCGAGTCCTGCACGGTTAGCTTGGTAAACTATAGGAAAAAGGCGGGGTTCCCAGTGTGTTCGGCCTTTGGATACGTATTCAAGTCTGTGCGTTCAGAATGTCCGACGCAAAGAAAATAGCAAGTTTAAAATGGATATTAGAAGTAGCTTGGACCACTTCCAGACAGAGCGCTTTGTTCAACCAGTCTTACATGTCTAGAGGTTCAAGAGTTTCGCCTCAACTCATTTAACAGTAAAATGGTCTAATAGGGCCAATATAGACATTACTGGAGTTCATAAATTATGTTTAGCGTAGATTGACGTATTGATAAATCTGTTTTTTCGTTTACATACCTAGTAACACGCCCATATCTCCGACGACAGCTGGATGCCACAAGCTAACATCTGCGCCAAAAATGGAGAAAGCCTTCTTGACATATGCTCCGTGTTGAGGCGGCGTGCAGCTCACGGTACGACCAATTACCTCCACTAAACGTCTGTGATCAAAACATAATCAATTAGGTCAATGCTAAACAATATTTCAAGGCTCCTCTATCCCTAAGTTCTGTCTATACTGTGTACCTAAACTCTGCTTATATCTAAGCTCTGCCTATACCAGTCTATTCCTAAGTTTGACATATACCAACGGCTCTGCCTATACCTATACCTAAACTTTGCCTAAAAATTCGGCTCTGCCTATATCTGGGCTTTGACAATACCTTGTCTCTGCCAATACCTAAGCTCTGCCTATACCTGAGCTTTGCCAATACCTTGTCTCTGCCTATACCTAAGCTCTGCCTATACCTAAGCTCTGCCTATACCTGGGCTTTGCCAATACCTTGTCTCTGCCTATACCTAAGCTATCATGTCTTACTAATCAAATAGACTTCAAGCTATCATGTCGTGGACTTACTTAAAGGACGTCTCATCGATTTTTTCTATTTCACTGACATCTAGAGCACATAAAAACTCCGACAAAGAAGAGAACTCTCCTGGTGTGATCTGTTTAACATTCTGTTTGCCTGTCAAATTCATCCACCGAAGGAAACCCGCCCTTAGCTGAAATAGAAGAGAAAAAAAATGTTTATTTATTCTTTGATTGATAAATGTTGTTAAAAATACATGAAATATTGTTTTATATATGTCACTAAAAGTAAAGGATTTTTTTGTAGGCCCTTACCTGTTCTGTAGAGAGACGCCCATGTTTCCCAATACTATTCATAGCGTCCACTCCAGTCAATTGAAGATCCTGGATCTCTGTGGGAACAAGTCCAGACACCAAGGAACCTAGTCGCTTAATCTGTCCATTGGTCCATTGTTTCGTTTCATTCAGAACCTGACCATGGTCAAATATTTTTTTTTTATAAATCAAGAAATTTAAAAAATTTGGTATCTTCAATTTATTATTTGTTTTCCCTTTTCTTTAAAGACTTTTATTACCATGAAAATACCTGTCCCTTTATTTTTTATTTTGTCAAAAGAGCCAAAATATTTATCTACCTCCTTACTTGCGCCCCGTACAAAGCAGAAGTTGTATCAGAGCTATAACAAAGGAGAGTCAAGATCAATACCGCAAGACCAGGCCACCATCTTTCTAGTTAAGAAATGTGACCAATGAGAGGGCAGTACTGCTGTAGACCCATTCCTGTGGCATTTTACGTCTCGAGAGACGATCTTTTCCCTTTGCAACTTCTTGTGTGACTAAAGAGGCCAATCCTTGATACACAGTTGC